CGCAAGGATAGTGTCTTTTTCACTGTCCGTGAAAGTACACTGTAGTTCTGATTCCCAGTTTCATAGGAAGTGTAAGGGTGAGCCACCGGTTGGGTCTAGCAATAGTTTGTAGAGTTGAGATACCGCATGGCGGGCAGGAAGACTACCCACACACAGTTGTTTGAATACTGTCAGTGGCCTATCCAGGTATGACTCATTCGGGACAGCCCTAAGAAAGTGTTGCAGCGGAAGGGCATCCCAGAAATCCATGGGGGGAGGGGGGGTTCCGTGAGTGCCTGTATGGACCGGAGTGCCATCCAGTCCACGAGTCGCCTGAAGTCTAACAAGCAGAATTTGTTAGCACAAAGAAGGGCACGTCGCATAAAACTATTGTCAGATCCTGGGAAGAAATCCGGATCCCCGAGGGCAGGCGTCAGAAGCGAAGGGGGCGGTGACAGGTTCGAGGTTCCCATGACCTTACGTGTCACCCTGAGGGTCGCATACACCAGAGGGTGAGATTGAACCTCCCTGGGTGGGGGGGAGGATAGCCATGGGAGGCCCTCAATTGGAAGGTGGAAGATACGCCACCCAAGGTCTGCCCTCTTGATGGAGGCACCAGTCGAGGACCCGAGACAGGTGTATAGCTGAACAATAGTTAGAAAGGTCCGGAAATCCCACCCCCTCTCTATCCCTGGGAAGGCAAAGGCTACGCCTGCTCAAGCGGGGAGTTTTGCCTGCCCATTTGAACGAGATGATATCGCCATGCAAAGTCTTAAAAAAGTGAACGGGTAGATTGATAGAGCTTGCATAAGGTACAGTTCATTTTTACCACTGCACAATGGCCAAACCATGTAATGTGAAGGAGGCGCCAGGCCTTGAGATCGAGGGCAATTTTTTTCATAAGCGGAAGAAAGTTAGTGGAATAGATGTCATCTAAGTCTCTAGGTATGAATGTGCCCATGGATTTGATAAGTAATAAGTACTATCCTTGTCGCACTCCTTACCGATATGTCCCTTGTAGTGGGGGGTGCTCGCAGTGACCGCGGATGGCGCCGCGAATGTCAGCAAAAATGTAGAAATGTCACCAGCACACCAATCCTTTTAAGATAGCAAAAGCTTCATTTATTGAAGTTTTTTGTCATATGAGCGAAAGGGCAACTGAGGCTTCAGAATATCAAGGTCCTCCGGGGGCACGGTGACATTAAGGGCCGCCGATTTTTGAAGATTAACTCTAAAATTGGACAGGTGGCCGCAGGTAGATAAGTCCTCCAATAGTTGGGAAGGGAGTTGTCTAGATTTGGGATGAAAAAAAACGAGATCATCCGCGTACGCAGCAGCCCTATGGACCCCCGTGGGAGATATCAGCCCCGAGATGTTTGTGGCGTTCCGCACTGTGTGGAGGAACGGTTCTAACGTAAGTGCGAAAATTAAGGGGGACAGGGGGCACCCCTGCCGTATCCCATTAGTTAGAGGGAAGGTCTGCGATCTGGTTTCGTTGACGTGGACCGGTGCTGACTGGGAAGAGTATAATGCCATGATCCAGGCCATGTTCCTCCCCAGGCCAATGTGCCGGAGAACCTCAGACATAAAGTCCCAGCTCACTCATTTTCGGCGTCCATGGATAGCAATATCATTGGGGTCCCTGACCCCCTGGCCTGGTGAACAACATTGAGGGCTCTGGTGGTGTTGTCCCTGGCCTCGTGGGCCGGCATAAAGTCAACTTGGTCCGGATGAACGAGCTGGGGAAGAAACAGCATTAACCTGTTGACCATAATTTTGGCGAATAGATTCAGATCTACATTCAGAAGTGCAATGAGACGGTAATTGACGCAGGAGGTGTGATCTTTGTCAGGTTTCGGGATCGCTGTAAGCCAGGCATGCAAAGTATATGCTGGAGGGGTAAGAACCTGTCAGAATACCATTGTGGGCCGCCAGGAAGGGACCCATCATGGCATTTGAGAAAGTTTTATAATAAGAGAGCGTGAAGCCATCTGGCCCTGGGGCCTTCCCCGCTCAGACGGATTTCAGTGCCCACCGCAACTCCTCCGGTTGAATCGGAATTTCCATGCAATTCCTATCGAGTCGCAAGCAACGGCATCCCGGATACTCTGAGATATTGCATTATAGAGGACCGTGGCGACTGCCCACTAGAGGGTGAGGGTTCTGACCCCAGATTGTACAGAGACTCGTATGTTTTAAATTCAGCCACAAAATCCGAGGACACCATCGCCTTACGGCCAGAGGAGGTAACCACATGAGAAATGCATGGCCTGCGCTGAGATCCCCTGAGAGTGTTAGACAGCAATTTCCCCGTTTTGTCCGAATATTCGTATAGAGTCCTACGACCCCTAGCCAGTCTGCCCTTGATTCGCCTAAAGAAAAGATCATTCAGTTCAATCCGAACCTCTGTGAGCTCCGCCCCCGCGGCCACAGCCTGGGATCTGTTGTGCAGCCCCTCCAGCACCCTAAGGCGATGTAGCAAGAACAAAACCCTAGAGGTCATTACCCTTTTCTTCCGTGCCATGTTTGATGAGTATCCCCCTCATGACACATTTATTAGATTCTCATATCATGAATGGGGGGGTAGATGCGTGGGCATTGGTGGTAAAAAAGGCTAATTTCTGTATCTGTCGGCCGTGACTACCGGGTCCTGCAAAAGTGACTAATTTAGTCTCCAAGACGAACAGGGAGATCTCGGGACCAGCATGTCCTGGGTCAGGTGCAGGGGGGCATGGTTAGACCGTAAGATACTGTCGATGGATGGCCCCCATATCGGGGAGAGGTCCTTGTGCTGCACAAACAGGTAGTCTATGCGGAAGTACATCTGGTGGGGAGCAGAAAATTATGTAAAGTCCTTCCCTTTAGGGTGGCAAAAGGCAGGTATCAACCAGCTGGAGAAGGTGAAATTCCGCCTTCAGCTTTCTCAAGTAGGTGTAGGAAAGATGAGATGTCCCTGTCGAGACGTCCCAGAGCGGGTCCATCGGGAAGTTAAGATTCCCCCCTATAATCAAGACCCCTTCCATAAACTCCAAAAGTCGTGTTACCAGAGCCTGCATGAACCCCAAGTGGTCTGTGTTCGGGAAGTATACATTGGCAAGTGTTGCCTAATTTCCCCTTCCAATAACCTTAGGTGTCACCTATGTATGTACCTTCCGCTAACCTCCAGCATATGTACCTTCCGCTAACCTCCAGCAACTGACTCCCAAAGGTCCACGGGACATCCTTAGACAGCAGTATACTCAGTCCTTTGGATTTGGAGAGGATAGGGACAGTTGTATGACCATGAGAAGTCCCTATTGATGAGTTTCAGGACTTTATCATGTTGGAAGTGGGTCGCGTGGGTAGGCGTGATCGCCTAAGATCAGACAGAAGTCTGGAACGTTTCTCTGGGATATTAAGCCCTCGTATGTTCAGAGAAGTAACAAGCAGAGGCCCCATGACAGTGGCCTAGTAGATCGGAGTCCGCCCGGACCCCTAGCTTGGGAAGTTAGGTACAGGAGAAGGGGGAGGGCAGAGTAATGGAGAAGAAGCTGAGAGAGGTAAGGGAAAACAAAGGGGTAGAGAAGAGGACCAAGAGAGACAGCCAGATTATTATGACCACCCCATCAGTACTTTGTTGGGCCGCCTCGTGACTCCACGAGATGTTGAAAGGTGATGCAAGGAATCTGACACTGCACTGTTGCCCTTCTGTTGTCTTGTACCAGTTTTGCCACTCTCCGTTCTGCCCTAACATTGACTAGTCGCTGACGGCCACAATTCGCACGTTCAGACCCAGATTTTCGTCTTGACAGTCCAGTCTTTAAACACTTTAACCCCTTCATTTTTTGCACCCATGTTATATTCCATATTTTAGGCCTGAAAATGACTTAAAACCCCCAAACATTATATATTTTCTGAATGCCAAGACCCTATAGAACAAAATGGTGGTAGTTGCAAATTTTTATGTTGCGCACTATAAGCGCAACTCCTTATTAAACCCCAACATTTATTGAAAAATGTAATTAAATGCCCCAAAACACAACAATGTTTACGCGGCGACGCGCGTGCTCATGGGGGCGGGGGAATTTTAATTGAAAAAACTTTTTTTTTTAAACTTTAGTTTGACTGCTATCACATGGGGGGGCTTACAAGCCCCCCCATGTGATAGCAGCTGGTGGTGACAGGTACTCTTTAAGGTGATGCTGGCGGTCCAAAAGACCCCCAGTGTCACCTTTATACTGGAAATAAGCTATTGAAGTGCAGATCGCACTAGAAGCGGCCCCTTCTACGGGACACAGAAGCGATCTGGCGACAGGTAAGTCGCCAGAATCGCTTCTGTTGTAAAGCCGACAGTCGGCTTTACAAGTTTAAACAGACTCCCGGCGGGAATAGCCGGAAGTCAGGAGATGATCCCCTGGGCCTCATGGACCACTATTACATCTACCCTATGCATGAGCGCAGTGGCAGAGGCTGTAAATTGGTAAAGTGAGGTACGGAGCGAATATAGGCAGGGCACAGCCTATAATGGCAACACATACATATCAACAGTATGACAACTCCCTGAGGTCCATTTCAAAGCGAAGGGGGACACCGACCGTCTGGAAATACACACTGACGTGGGACCCGTCTGACCACCGTCCCCCCAAGGGGGGGAGGGGGAGAATATGAGTTTAATTATGTCCACCCACCCCTGCCCTTAATACTCTTCTGCCCGTCTACCTCTGCCCTCACCTCACCCATCCTTCCTGGCCAACTATCCACCCCTGCCTTCACTACTACCCCCCCACCAGCACTACTCCTTTGCCCAGCCAGCCCTGCCCTCACCGCTCTTCCTCTTCCCTTGCCCTCACCGCTCTGCCCCATTTTTGCCCTCCCCTGCTGTCATTATTCACCCCCCCCTCCTGCTCTCACCACATTCTGCCCCCCCATAATAAAAAATATAAAACTTGCTTATTCAGAAGGAAGTCTGCAATAGTCGCCTCCATATTTTTATCATAATAACTGGTTTACTTTTACCAGAACTGCATTGTGTTTTCTTACAGGCTTGTTCTGGAGAGAGAGCTCCATGCCCACTACCTGCGAAAAGGCTTACAGCACCTCTCCGACTCCTATGAGGTAATCAACCATTGAAAGTGCTTATGTCATAAAATCTATACCTTTTTTAGCAAGAAGTTAAATTTATAATTTTTTTAATAGGTTCATACTATGTAAACCTGTGCACTATGTCATAAATGTTTACATCAGTGACAAACTCAAATAATTATACACATAGAGGGGAATTTATCAAACCTGGAGCAGCCAAAAATAAAATTGTCTGTTTCAGTTTTGATAAATTCCACCTAGCGTATCCTTCATCTGATACTAATCTAACTGGTATTTCCCATCATCACAAGAATATTCTCGGGAGCTTTGCAAACATTAATTTACCAGTATATTGAATATAAGTTGAATTTGTATGTTAGTTGGAAAAGTTAATGTATTTTAAGTTTAACTCCAGCCCAAATTGTATTTTATGTTTTGGATAGCATAGTAACGCATGTAAAGTTTGTTTTGCTGTGTGTGCCCGGTTCAGAAGATTTCACCTCACTTTCTGTCTCTGTGACAATTGGATTTTGAAAATGTTGGGTTACTATGGAAACAAGGATTGGTGATAAGGCTTCAATGGAGACATCTTTTTCCATGATAACTCTTAGAGGAGTGGATTTCCCTTCCAAGGGTAGATTTCCTCTCACTTCCTGTTGTCTCAAGGACAGGAAGTGAGATTAAATATTTCTAATGAGGATACAGACAGCAGTTAAAACCTCACAGTCACCCGGAAGAAGAGGTGGGCGGCACTTTTCTGCACGTCTAACATGAGCCATCTTCCTGTAATGTACATACAGTACTATGAACCCGATCGAAAAAGGCGGGCACTCACCGTCAGCACGAGCGCGGTAGCATTACAATTACCCCTGCTGTACAGTAATAGCCTCCGTTTGTAAGTAGGAGTCGGATGTAAGTCGGATGTAACTCGGGGACTGCCTGTATTCTGTTTGTTTTATGTACATGCTAAAAAGAAAAAAAAAATTAAACTTGTATTTCTTTTTTAGCCAGGTAAATATTAGAGGTGCACTGAAATTACATTTTCAAAACTGAAAATAAGTGAAAAAAATGCTTTTTTTCCCCTAACCTTTTCCCATTTTTTTCAATATTTTATTATATTATTTTTAAATCTTTTTATTAAATTTTTTTTTTTTTTTTTTTTTTTTTCCTTTTGGTGGCTTTGGGGAAATTTTAGGGGTCTAAACAGATCTCTGATATTTCCCTTTTAAAATAGGAAAAGAGATTGAGAACTCAATCTAGTTTTCTGCTTCACCTGTTATAAATTAACAGGAAGCATCTATACTGAGTGTTCCTGTTTATTCATAACGTGGAGATAGTGAGGGAAATTTATCAAAACTGGAGCAGACTTGCCCATGGCAACCAATCAGCTTCTCTCTTCAGTTTGTTCAGTTAAGATTTGAAATGAAAGGGAGAAGCTGATTGGTTGCTGTGCACAGCTGCTCCAATTTTTGTCTGCTCCAGTTTTGATGCATTGTACCATGTCCACAATCATGAATGAACAGCAGGTGATGTAGATCACTTTCCATTCATTCATAATTGGGGACACAGTAAACATATGATGTCCTCAATTATTTACAAACGCTCAGCGATCGCTGAGTGCTTGTACCCGCTCTCCATCCTGACTCGCTGTTACAGGAGGCTGAGCAAGCGGTGCAGGGAGGAGAGCTCATCTTTTCTGACAGCTGACTCCTCCCCCCGCACCATTTGCCTGGCCTCCTGTGACAGCTGTCTCCGCCACCTCACCGCTGCTCTCCTGATCTGTCACAGGAGGCTGAGCGGGGTGGTGCGGGAGGAGAGCTCAGCCTCCTGTGACCACACTGACAGCTGTCTCCGCCCCACACCGCTCTCCTAATCTGTCACAGGAGGCTGACATCGCTCTCTTCCTCCGTACCGCTTGGCCTCCTGTGACAGTTTCTCTCCTCCTTGCTGGACACTGCGCGGTGTCAGAGGGGACACAGAGCAGCGCACAGTGGGGAGGAGATAAACCAGGAATGCACCACAATTTTCGGCCTAAAGATGGCACTTTCGGCGGCCGAAATTTTGGTGCATCCCTAGTAAATATGGATTATATTTATTTCATGTTTACCACTTCCAGCTAGAGGTTGGTGAGTTTAAATGGAAAGTTCACTTTTAAAAAAAATAAATGCATACTTCTTGTTAAAAGAAAAAAATTTGCATTCATTTTTTTATTTTAGTAAAGCATTAAAAACGCGATCAGAAGATCGCAGGTGCAATGCTCTGGCTCCTGCAGACATTTCCTCCCGTCCATGCCCCTACCAAGGTACGGACATGCAGTAACATGAATAGGAGGCAGAGGTAATGGACGAGAAGTGCGGTGACGTCTCTGCTGCGATGGCAGATGGGACTTGTAGTTCCTCATGTGTGTGGCTGTGTGGATAGAGCAAGGCACAGCCATGCAATTAGTAAAAAAAAAAACAGCCTGCGCAGAGAAGAACCCCACGTTTCAGGTAAATGGTGGGACGGGAGAGTGATATGGAGGGTTGTAATCCGACATGTGTATGGGTGTAAAAAAGCATGTTTGCAACCATGCTGAGAAAGGACCTAAATAGCTGGTGTGATGAGACCTAAATATCAGCATATAAGATGACACAGCTAAGTGAGTCAGAGGACATAGCCTTTTTCTCTCTTTTAACAAACGGTGACTGTAGAGATTTCCAGTCAGCAGAAGCAGTCGGTACCAGCTGAGTTACTTCTGGGCTTATTTACTGTAAAGCCCAGCATTTTTTTGCAGAGTAACATGAAGACACCCTGTTTAAATGTGTGTGTAAAATAAAGATTTCATACCAATTATTTAAAAAAATTATTTTGATCTATATCAATAAAGCCAACATGCCTTATCCCACAAAGATTCGGTTGAAATGTTAATGTCTTTATGTTATCCATTGCAGAATGTTTGTTGGGAAAATTTAAAAATATTATGGGATTTTTGTATGGAAATCAGACCAACTGTAGGTAATATGTTCATTGTGGGATTATGGAATTGTCAGATGAGCAGTATATATATGATTGAAAAATCACCATTGTTTATTTCAATATCAGTGACTCACTGACTACTGAACTGCAGATGTTTGCCATTGTCATGCATTTGTAAGCTTGTGTTTTAAAAACTGATTACTTGTTGGTAAAATAAACAGGTAAGTTTTGTTCCATAAATAGTTTTTTTTGTAAGCATTTAGAGCTGAATTGAACCACTTTTACATTTTTGACTTTTATAAACATATTTTCTGTGTAACTTTTTCTTCATCCTAGTGCCTGGATGCCAGCCGCCCCTGGCTATGCTATTGGATTGTACATAGTTTAATGTTACTGGATGAGCCAATCCCTAAATCTGTGGCATCAAGGTGAGCTTGTTACAATAAAAGTAAGCTATGAATGTAAAGTTTATAAACTAACATCGTAGTTAGATAAGTAGTATAATTGACATAGTACAGCATCCAGGAATATATGTTTGCTATTCCTGTTTCTTGGAACATTGTGGGAAAAAACAAATTCTGACTCTTGTCTCCTACAATACAGTGTGGAACTCCAGTATGTTTTAGCACTTATTATATTAAGGCAAAGAGACAGAGGATCCACTGTGGGGTGGGAAGCTGTCTCTGGGCTAATTAATATCTAGTATGTGGTATTTGCATACAAAATTTGTGTTGAACCACCAATGAAAATGAGACCCCACACCCCTAAACAGAACATGTAGAAAAAAAGAGAAAAAAAATGGGGCTTTAAAAGTGTTGTATCCGGATAACGCGGGACCAAATCACATATATATTCATTCATTAATAAATTATTTTGACAACATATTAATTAGTAAAATACATAATTTTTAAATATATATACAGTCAAGTTAAAAGAGTTGACCAGATAAAAATCCTATCCTAAGGCGTAACTCCCCCCTAGACCCCATTTGCACATATCATTAAATCTATGCGATTACATAATTGCTTATCTTTAACAATGTCCATGATTGATTGGAATATCCATAATTGTCTCTTTAATTTCATATTGATGTTGTGCAATGGGTCTAGCCTTTGACGCATTTCGCCAACTGGCTTCTTCAGAACAGAAAGAGGAGAGGGACACAGACGGACGGCTAAATGGGGGAATCGGATGGCCCTCAATATACCTACCAAGAATAGATAATAACCATAACTGCAATAGTGACAGTAATTGAGAGCTCTCACACTACATATAGAAACTGCCCTATATATGCTATCAGTACCAATATGTCCATATTTATAATATCAATGCAAGGTATAAATTTAAACCTTAGCACATTGGAGAATCTCCCTTTTCTTTAATAAAGTTAGACTGTTAGTAATGTCATCAAATACATATGGGAGAAAACTGGAGCTGCTAGATATATACCTAATTGGTTATACACATACCTTCACATTTATAGGATACCTCAAGATGAAGGGACAATTCCTCCCAGATGAACCGTTTACCTGCACCCTCCATACTCTCCGAGTGATTCCCTTGCTTCACCATACCATGCTCGACATCCGGCGTGTGACATGCGCAGTCCGGGCGGGCCAATGGTGTACGCTTATGCCGCACAGGCCCATTCATATGTGGGTGTTCCCGCCATTGGGCAGGGTCCCCACCCACCTTGGCAAACCGTCCAATGGGGCGGTACCCCGAGCTGCTAGGCGCCGCACCATGATCCCTCACGTAATGAAAACAAATCCCCCAGTGCGGCGGGATGACATAGTGTTGGAAGAAGCCAATGAAGAACATCACCTCCTCCCAGCATAGCAAGAGAGGTGACGTTCAGCACACACCATACAATAATCAATCCCCGGAGGTCGGAGCCTCCTCCAGAAAGGCGGACCCCCAACGCCAATTTCCGGCTTCATGGATATCAATAATTCAAAAATTGTCAGTCTGATAGTTTATTTACCCTGATTGATTAATCATAATGCCATGATCTTACATCAAATATGTCACACCCAAATTAAAACTATATATCTATATATCACTAAACCATATGCACCAAATTAGTTCTAAAATGTCCAGAATTTTTTTTGTAAAGAATAGTGATGATAGTCCCCATCACGGTATGTGAATGAATGTGATATTGAAAGGCATGATTAGAGGACTATAAAAAATATTAAATAAATTGTGATAACATTGTCCATAATGACAATTATCTCAAAAGGTGAATAGTAAAGATGGGTAAGAATATTATAATAATAATAATAATTACCACAAACCCATTTCAAAGTGATAACCAATGTGTAGAGCTAAGACAAAAAACAACCCAAACGTGATAAAAACCTGAAGAAACCTGAAAAAATATAGTTTGTGTATTATATTATATGTGCGTATATTACTGGATCATTTATTATAATGGTGTACTCTAAACTAAAAAGAATGTGTGTTTAAAAATGTATATTTATTTCCCATAATTAATCAATTAAACAAAAATATTAAATACTTGTGGTATTTGCAGTCTATTTAGGGCAATTTTCTGAGATCATCTATTGTGTGTGTGCAACTTGTTATTCTGACTCTATGTATAGAGGGTGAGCAACTAAAGAGCATGCCAGAGACAAGGAGTTAGCCTGTTAGCCTAAAGGGGCACTCTCTGCAAATGAATACTTGAAGGGCAAACCACCCAAGCACCCACAAAGGATTAACAATTGAAGACGAAGCAAATCAGGTGCTCCATACAGCATCTAAATCCCCACTTCTTTACCAGAGTGCTCTGCATATACAGTGCATTCAGAGAACCTGAGTTAAAATGTAAAATTATTTTCTGTGCTTTCTTTAAGGACACAGGCTCTGCCCTCTTTATTGGGGTGTATACTCCTAACTGCTTGTTACTTACTGGAGACTTGTCAGCAGGTGGGGAGTTTGGACACCATCAGAGGCCGCCCCTAGGCTCTCTTTTGTTTTGTGCCTAGTGTTCTTCTCCTGCAGGTGGCAATATTACCCTGTGATACATAATCTTCGATCAGTTTCCCCTGTCCTTTAACTACCTCCCGGCCGGCCGTTGTACGAAAACGGCCGGCCGGGAGCTCTCTAGATCTGAGCGGGCATCTTTAGATGTCCGCTCAGACACGCCCCTCGCGCGCGGGTAAATCCCCGATATTTAAAAACAGCCAGCGATGCCCGTTAACAAACAAGCGACTTGCCGGCTATAGGGTCGGTGGATCGCTTGTATGGGGTAACGATCGGTGCCCCTCCCCCTCACCGTTGTCCTGCTGGTCTCGGGCTCCGCTGTGCCCGGTGCGAGCCAGGGATCAGCATGGTGAGCATGGCGAGCCAGGGGATCAGAGGGAGATCGGTATACGAGCTCCCTCCGATCCCCTCTCTGCTGCAAGAATGCGGAAGTGTTGTATATTACATCACTTCCGCATTCTTGTGTCACTCTCCAGCTTCAGAAGCTGGAAAGAAGCTGATGGAGCAGATCTGTGCTTCATCAGCTTCTTTTGGGGGGTCCTAGGTGACATTAGGGGTCTTGGAGACCCCTGATGTCTCCATAAAGAGGACCTAAAGCAGAGACACCGGCACTTCAAATTTGCAAAATACGTCTATTTATTGACGTGCATCGTGGTAAAAAACAACGAACGTTTTGGGGTCACGAAGGATCCCCTTCATAGAAGGGGATCCTTTGTGACCCCGAAATGTTCGTTGTTTTCATCGAAGGGGATCCTTTGTGACCCCGAAACGTTCGTTGTTTTTTACCACGATGCACGTCAATAAATAGACGTATTTTGCAAATTTGGAGTGGTGGTGTCTCTGCTTTAGCTCACGATTGTTACGGCTGCCACTACCGCAGCACCCAATTCTTGAAGGGATTCACGCGGTCAGGAGTGTGATGGGACCATGAACTATCTACATAAAGAGGACCTGCCACATATTTTGCTATCACATAGGGGGGTTTTATTAGCCCCAGTATGTGATAGCAGCAAAGTTTAGTGGAAAAAAAAATTACACATAAAGAATGAAAAACTATTTTTTTTAAAGTCCCCCACGCATGCAAACATGCGTCAGGGGCGCATACGTACAAAAACGACGATTGCGCCCGTTACACCGCACATGTTACATATCGTCGCAAAGCAATCATTCTAGGGCCACCAATCACTGATAACACTAAACTGATGAGCGGTAAAAGCTTTTAAAGCGTCGCCTACGGCCAATTTTGGGTATGGTAGTTTTCTGCAATTTTGCGGGTGCGTGCAATTTTAAAGCTTGACGTGTTTGGTGTCTATTTACCCGACGTGACCACGTCTTTTTATATTTTACCAAAAAACTGGGTAATAATAAATGTTTCCTAACATAATGTAAAAAAAAAAAATTTTTACAAAATTTTCAGTAATTTTTCATAGTTATCGGTCCATCGGTTTTGGATGGCGTCGATCAGGTCTGTAATGGCCTGGCTTCATCAGGGGGATCTGCTGGCCTCCTTCGACATCAAGGATGCCTACCTTCATGTGTCCGTTTGCGGGTCTCATCAGTAATATCTTCATTTGCGGTGGGGAGGAGCATTTTCAGTTGTGGCGCTCCCTTTTGGCCTTGCGGGTGTTCACCAAGGTGCTTGCCCCAATTCTGGCACTGTTGCGTTGTAGGAGGGTTTAGATCGTGGGCTACCTGGACGATCTTCTTCTGCGGGTGGAGTCGCACTCTTCTCTGAAGGTCACGGTGCAGTCCTTGAAGGGTGTAGTGTTGGCTCCTGAACCCCCCGAAGTCTTGCCTGGTGCCTTCTCCGCGCCTGGAGTGTCTGGGCCTGGTTCTGGACACTGTTGCGGCCCGGGCTTTTCTCCCTCCGGACAAACTCCTGAACCTCCGTTCCAAGATCCGTCTGTGGCGGACTCTCCGGTGCTCGCCCATTCGCTTTTGCATGCAGGTCCTGGGTCTCCTGGTGGCCGCCTTCGAGGTGGTGTCCTTTTGCACAACACCACACCCGGACTCTGTAGAGGGACACCCTGGTACAGTGGGACAAGTCCCCCCTGTTCGTGGACAGGGAGATTCCGGTGTCTTGGGAGGTGTGTGCCTCCCTGCGGTGGTGGCTTCAATCTCCGGTCTTGGTGCGGGGGAAGTCTTTCCTTCCTGTACACTGGACGGTAGTCACCACGGACGCCAGCTTTTGGGGATCCTTGACCGTGCAGGGTTGTTGGTCGGCGGAGGTGTCCCGCCTGTCGATAACTGTGTTGGAACTTCAGGCGATTCGCCTTCCTCTCCTTCATTGGTCGACCCGTCTTCAGGATCTGGCGGTTTGGGTCCAGTCGGACAACGCCACCACGGTGGAGTACATCGACCGCCAGGGAGGCACAAACGGCATGGCCGCTGGTCGAGAGGTGTTCGGGATTCTCTCCTGGGCGGAGAATCCGGTTCTGGC